GAAGTCACTTGGATGAGTGACGAAACGTTTCTCCCACAAAACGCTACGTCCAGATGAACAGAATCAACTTTTGGAGATTTACTTTCCTGGATGATTGAGAATGCATCAAGAGGTGTATATACAGTTCAGCAGGACAATTTCTTTAGATCGAAAAAGCTGACATGCACTATTAAAGTTATCCAGAAGACACAGGACAATGAATGGAGTTTGCAACTACTACTACTACTGATAATAATGATAATAATAATAATAATAATAGTAATAATAATAATAATAATGATGACAATGAGTGAAAGGCACATTTTTTAAAAGCATCAACCTACCCACAAACCAAAAAAAAAACAGCTAGGTCATGTGACCCTCACCTTGTGGGTTGTAGTGTAGTAACTTCCCAAGCTAGTTAACATTGATGCAACCTAAATTTCATTACGTGCTAGCTAGCTAGCTAAATTGCTAACTAGACAATAAGTTAATAGAGTTCATCACAGGCACTCAGATCTTGACTTTTCTGTTTATCAGTTTGTTAAAAGTTTTCTTTTTTTCTAAACAAGCAAAACACTCCAGTGTCAATGTCTGCTTTGGATTCTCCGCTCTCTTGAAAGTTACCAGTGTCAGGCTGACGTGCTGTTGGTCGGCTGCTTTATTTAGGCATGCATTTCAGACCTAAATACAGTTGAATCCAAGTTTTAAATGACTTGCATGCACAAGTCAAATGTTATTTTATGAGATCAGTCATGAGCTATTTTACATTATATAGAGGAGGCTGAGTGATGCCTTTCAGCTTTAAAAGTTGGAACATCTTGTATCTTGTATGTAGACAAACATGGGCTTTTTGATCAGCCTTAACATTGAACCATTAAATCTGACTAATATTCATACATGAATCTAGCATGAAATCTCTTATTCCTTGTACAACATTGAAACAGCCAACATTTGTTTCAACCAGGTTCCAACACTGAGGGTCAGTCATGTGCAGCCTTTTTAAAGCTCTCCCAGTCATGGTTCTGATATTGATTTCTGCTTTGCTGGATAAAAGCAATAAAAAGACCTGTTGTTGTTATTACTCTGACATTTGCTTCACAAGTTACACAAAGCACATAGTTGTATAAGCATGTGCTTTCAGTGGCTCGTGGATTGGGGAAAAAAAGACACTTATGGAGTGAGAATGATGAATGTCTGCTCTCAGACACAAAAACCCACAGTGGCCAAACTGTTACATTTAGGAGGTAATTAAAGCTGCAGCGTTATGTGTAAGAAGCCATCTGGTCACACCTTGTAACTAACGCAAAGCTCTTTGTAGTAAAAATCCCACCAAGAAGAAAGTCGTCTAAACATTTTTCCTAAGAGGATTACAAGCCACAGATCACTTGTGAAGTATAAAGCTGAAGTGGTGATGTACTAGAATAATATAATGTCATGTTATGGGTAACTTTAATCTGAAACACCTGGTTCATGCTGAGCGACAGCTGGATTTAATGAGCTTTTATAATAAATGTTTAATGTACATAGTGTACAAAACTAATCTCTGCACACTTTATGCCTGTGAAAAAAAAAGGTTCCAACGGAAAAAAAAATAAAACCGGGGAAAAACAATAAAAAATCCACAAAGAAAAATTGGAACAATTTTTTGTATTAAAAGCTTATTATTGCCAATATGAACTCTTACCCGACTTATACATGACATAGCAGATACAACAGAGGAGCATAGCAGTACAGGGCAGTCTGCTGTATGTCTGATTGCACTTAAGTTGATGGCTGTGCCATTTCTAATGTTTTTCTTAACCAGACAATCTTCAAGAAGATAAATAATCTGGAAAAACTTATCATTGTGACTGCACTGAATTTGAATTTTATTCTTTCTAACTTCATTCATTTAGTCAAAGTGACACCCAAGCATATTATGGGCTATTATAAAGTCCACTGATGTGGTCATTTCGTGTTTATTGTATTTCTGGCTGTTCATCAAATTCCCAGTTTTATGCAGTTTTCCTGGTAATCACATTCATCCTGCATAGAGATTTTCTCATCAGTACAATCGCAGCCCAGGAGGAGTTTAACTATAATATGTACTGCCATCACTATAAGTATTGGTTTATGTATTCCAGTGATACTGCGAGCTAATATGTAGTTTCACTGTAAGTGATGTCCAGCCATCTGTGATCAGGATGATCTTTCCCTACAAATATTTTTTCTAATTTTGTCTGTAGTGGTATATTAGATGATAAATGGCCTGTATTTATATAGCGCTTTACTAGTCCCTAAGGACCCCAAAGCGCTTTACATATCCACTAGTAGGCATGGGTGAAGTTGCCCAAGGACACAACGACCGAGACTGTCCAAGCCGGGGCTTGAACCAGCAACCTTCCGATTACAAGGTGAACTCCCAACTTTTGAGCCACGATCGCCCACAATAACTCTGTGTGTGGCTGCAAATGTAATATGTGGGTTAAAGTTTATAAATGAAATCTTAAAACCTGTTGTTACTAGCTCTCAAATCTTTTCAGTGTCAGTTTGGCTGCAGTAGCAACTGCTGAAGCTGGTAAGCTCCTTGGATGAGAAGAGGGAGGCAAAAAGAGTTAATTGTAGTTGGCCTGAGCTGCAGTTCCTGTCAGACTTTAGCTTGCCTAATGAGCCAAGTGCACTGTCATGTTGCTTTTTGTCAGCCACACTTAGGAGAATTAATGCAGTTATAAAAAAAGATTACATTGCAGATTACGGTGTGAAATTTTAAACCAGTGGTATTTTTTTCTGTTTGTTCACATTTTAACCCTCTCGAGGCAGGCGACAGTTAAAAACTAACAACCTGATTACCCCACATACATATTCTATGAGGTTTTTTTACTCAGAAGTACCACTGCAGGACTTGGTTGTGCATTAGCAACAAAACGTTTAATTTGAGCCTGAGAGGGTTAAAGATAGATGAACAAAAAGTGCTACAGACGTGCTGCTAGACTGATTTATTTGGTTTGAGGGGTTGTGACACCAGTAATGTAATTAGAAAATAGATTGCACTTGCACAGTAGTTCATTTTGTTGGTGAAATACAATTATGAATATATCCATTTTAATCCAGTTTATAAGTAACCCTCCCAAACGTTCCAGGGCCTCCACCATTTCTGCTGAAAAGGATGTGTGCTTCCATTAATGTAATATCCAGGTTTTTCCACCTGGACAGGAAAAACATGACCTTTATAGTTTTCCCTTCCAGAGACTGGATCACATCCTCATTTTCTTTAAAAGACAGTGAAACATTCCCAAGCAGACATAGAAGTATTACCTATTTCTGTACTAAGACGTTCTTAGTTACATACTGCCGACATTTGAATTCTCATGAATTTTTCACAAACATAACATTGCCTACATAACATTTACATTTGGGACAGCTGAGGTCCCAAATTGTAATTCTGGATGGCAATTGCAAAACCTTGTCCCAAACATCACTGTCTATTACAACATTTGAGCAAAATATACCAGGATGTTCTTAGCCGTGCAGGGAATTGAGGGTCGGGGGAGCAATCAAACACACATCACAGGTTCTGCAAACGTGTGTTCTGGTTGTTCAACAGGTGTTTGATAAATTGCTTGTATTGTCTCCCTTACTGTTGGATCATGTTGCACCTATGATTACAAGAACTGGAGTCACTTACTTGAGAAAAACACAATCTGAAGTCTGTTATATTTTCTCCACAGTGGCCTCTGTTCTGATGTGTGTGTGTGTGTGTGTTTCATCCTCAGCCAGACAGTAACCAACACAGAGTATGAGAGATTTCCTGAAATAGTGACTGGAGGGTTCATTTACCTCAGTTGCTTTTATTTCTCATTCCCTTTTTATTCTAAGTGTGATGCCTAATTCTCCTCTCCCTTCCTCCGTTCAAGTCACTGAGTTATGCTGTGCACTGTGGTGACTCACACCTGAGAGGAATTGCTAGGCTAGTTCCAGCTTTTGTCAGCAGTCCTTTATGCAGACAATAAGAAGAGCATCACTCTGATTAGGATTTATCCATTACGACCCTGGGACAGCGC